TGGGGTACCCTAAAGCAGAAATGACATAATTTAAGGGTAAAAATGGAATTTAACGACCTAATTTGAGGGTAAAATTGGAATTTAAACACGGTAAATCCAAAGAGTCGATGCTGTCCTTGCAACACCCACCCACCTCATGTCCAATATCTACACCCACCTTGATTTCAAAAGGGACTTGTGAAAACCAGAAATGATGACGTGACCAAATCTAGACCATACACGTGTCAGCAAACAACTGGTTGAGGTTCGAGAATATCGGCCTATGAGGAGGGGGAGTTATTCTCGATGTAAATAAAGTTGTCTCGGAGTAAGAATCAACGTCGACGTGCCGCGAAAAATGTTTCGGTATGAATTTACTAAAATACCCTTTCTAGAAGAAAATTGATTTTACTTTAATACCCTTCATTCCTTCGCGTTGATTTTTTTTTTTTTATTGTTAACATGTGGTGGCAACAAATTCAACAATTATTATTAATATTATTTATTTATTTTTTAAAAAATATAATTTTATCACAATATAATTTATTATTTTTATGATATTGAAAGTTTTATGTAGCTTTAAAAATAATTTCTTTACAAAAAAAATTATTTATTATACAAACTAGCAAATAATTCTATACAAAACCCAAATTAGTGTATATATTTATATATACATAATGGAAAATATCAAAATTTTATAAATCACTCTTGAATTAATTTTATTTCTCATTATAAAATCATAAAGGAATCTTCAACAAAGGTGTAACTATAGATACACATGAAAGTTGTCGTGGTTACTAAAATATTGTAATACAATAAATTATAATAGAATTGTTTTAAACATAAACAAGAAAATAATATTTTAATATGAGCTCGCTTTAATGTTCTTCTGATCAAATAAAAAATCTACCACAGTTACCATCATTGTAAGAAGTAATATACGATTATAACTTACGGTATCATAAAATAAAGTTGAAACAATCTCATGCAATCAAATTCAGGATAACACATCATCTGTCAAAATTCAAGTAGCATATGGTAATGGGACAACCATGTACCCTCGTGGAATTATAAGTTTATGTTTGGAATGACACCCATCGATGAAGAGATGAAACCAATAACCTTACTCTTCTCCCACAGTCGTCATTGACCTGATTGACGAAGATGAAGATGAAGATGAATATGTGTTCTGCTTTGCCATACACTTGACAACCAATAAAAAATTGTACTTACAGAGACCAGGAAGTAAATAAACTGCTGAGGAAAAAGAATCAACTTGTATTATGAGTACGCATTAATAGGGATTTGGATCATCACAGGCAATTATTTAGTGATGATGATGTTCGAATTTTGTCATCGAGGAGGCATTCATTAAAAGAGTGGCAGTTTGACTACAATTTTTAGGAGCAGAGTATAGAATATTTTAATGCTAATTTTTTGGGAACAAATTAGAGATTCTTTTTGATCGAGTTATTAACGTGGATATCACAACTTGATTAGTAGCTCGTAGATGTTAGAACAAATAAGGAAAATGTAATCAAAATCAAATAAAAATAAGAAAATAATGGTAATTTATCTTTTAAAATAAATAAAAAAATTTCAGAAATTAAATTATAATAAAAAATATTAAAAATTAAATTATAACAAATATCAAATTATATGTACTAATTTATTAATTTATCAAAAAAAAATTTGAAGTCCAAAAATATCTTGGGAGAGAGTATTGGATTCTGGAACGAGGGAGGGTATTTTGGTAAAATCAATGTTTATTCCAAATACTTATTTTAGGGGTAATTCAGTAATTTCACGAGGTCAAGCACAGTGGTGGGGATAGATGCCGCGTAAATGTTCAAAAATTACCGTTAATGACGTATTTGGCCCTGGGGCAACGGGCAACTCCTATGTATATGTACATGCGCGTGTGTATATATATACATATGCCGTCAATCACCTTCCTCATTTTCCCACAGTTTCTTTCACTTTCTCTCTCGCAACTTGGTGGTCTTCAAAGAAAGTTTCTTCCTTACCATTCACAAGAATCTTGGAATCAAAATTTTCCCAATCTCCAGTCATGAAGAGATCCGGAATCTTTGCAGCCTCTGTCGCTGCTGCTTCTGCTACTGCTATCTCTACTACTACTTCTTCTTCTTCCTTCAACTTCACTTCAGATTCCAATCATCACGAGGTAAAAATTTCCAGATCAATTCCAGGGTCCTTATTGTTTTTTTGTTTTCAATTTTCTTCACCTTAGGTTAAATGGGGCTTTTCTGTTTTTTTTTTTAATTCTGGGTTTTCACCATTTTTGGTGCCCGAGAAAATTCTCTTGATTTTTCGATTTTTATGTGAAAGTTGTTAAAATTAATTAATGGGTTTTCTGTCTTGATATATGTTATCAGTTTCCTCTCTTTCTCACCATGCATCGTTTCCTAGAAAATTCTGTCAAAGAAAATTTTCTCTGTCTGTTCTTCATCATGTTTGGTTTCCTAGAAAATTCTCTCTTTTCGTTTTATTGACGAGAATTGTCAAAATTAATTTGTGGGTTTTTCTGTTTTGATATCTTTTTTCAGTTTCCTCTGTTTTTCACGATACTTCCTTTCCTAGAAAATTCTCCCAAATAAAATTTTCTCTGTTCTTAATCATGTTTGGTTTCGAAGAAAATTCTCCCTAACTTTCCTTTTAAAGATGAAAATTGTCAAAATTAATATATGGGTTTTTCTGTTTTGAGTCCTTTCTTTTCAGAAAGTCAATTTAATTTTTCTGCCTCCTTAATTTTTTTCTTGTTTTGGCAAAAGTAATCTTCTACTTTCATGTCCTTTTTCCCCTGTTTTCTGGAATTGACAAGAAATCAAATCACTCCTTTACTAAATTTAATAGTGTTATTTTAACAAAAATAATAACTATTATTATATATATATATATATATATATATACATTTGAATTAATTTAAGTGGGAAATTTTCTTTTTTAGGATTCAAAGAAAAATCAAGAGAGCTCTGCAAGTAAGAGATCAGCTTCAACAGACAAGTTTGCACCAAGGTTTGATGGATTAAGGTTCATTGAGACACTGGTTACTGCTCACAGATAAAAAAGCTTCTTTTTTTAGGGTTCATGTCATTATTACCTTCATCTAAATGAAGAATTTTGTTGACTTTTTCCCTTTGACTGGAGAAGGGATAGTAATTAGT